ACCAGAACAGACCCCCTTCCCCATCAGCCACTTCTTCCCCACCACACACATCGTCAATCAGAACTTCCCTTCCTCTCCTTTCACCTCACCCAGTCACTCTCTCCAATGGAAGCTGCTGTCCTTCATTCTCTTAAAATGAGCAGTACTGTGACATTAAGCCTAGACAATCCACATTCAACCAAAAATTTCTCAACCCTGCTATACATGCATTGACCTATTCATTTTCCTCCTTCCCATCCCTTAAAGCTACCAAAGTTTGCTAGAGAAAGTAATATAAATATGTCAGTTTGCTCTAGGTCAATTCATGTCATAGATCTTTAGTTAGTCTTCAGTGTTGCCAAGAAACACTATGATGTTTTTCACAGTAGCTGCTGTAAAACTTTTCCATTTTCTTCAAGATTTATCCTTAAATATTCCAGAAGAAGAAACCATGATAAATCTAGGAGAAAGTGACCTTGATATCTCCATGTGCATGACATCCTGGAAGAGAAGGATGGGACTGTAAACTCTATACTTTAGGATAGCAGATTTCACAAAGGTCTGAGAAAGTATAAGCATGAATTCCACTGCAAGAGTTTCTAAAGGGAAGGATGATTTAAGAGAGTTGAGAAGCTCTTAAAACTGTAAGTCTGATTATATAATTACAAATCATTTCAGCAAGGAAGCCAATGCGGCTTTTTAAGTATCTTGGACAAGAATCTAGTACCAAATGTAAAAAATACTAAATATGTTGTGATGCATAACAAAAAGCAGCGACCCCGAAAAGCCAGTCAGGGTTCACTAAGGACAGATTACCTTTAGAGTTTTGATAGCATTACAGGACTAAGGTTCATCAAAGCGTGGCATGTAATGTATAGAGGTGAATAAGGTTCAACTGAAATCTCTCATGGCAATTCCAAGAACAAGAAAAAAACTAACTTGTAACAACTAGAGGTCTCTAGTACTGTAATTCTCTTTGGGCTTCCCTTAACTGGAGGCACCAAAGTGCCACTGGAGTGCCAGAGAAGCAATGCTTACACTGAAGGGGGCACCAAGACTGATGGCCTCCTGAAGGCCCCTTCCAAAGCTACTGAAATTATACATTCTATTAATGTGCACATGCTACTTAACGTTTTTGTTAAAGATTCTAAATGTGGGGTTCTCCACCCGCAGTTATATACTGACTGTATATTGTTATCAAGTGTTGATTTTGAAACCATAGAACCTGGTTCTCATCACTTTCTGTTCTAAGCCACTCCTGTGTTTTCTAGCTTGATTTATGGTACAACATCTTCCTAGTCAACATGGCTGAAGACCCTGGGGTCATCAAATCATTCTCATCTACCCATCTGACCGGGCAGCAAACATTCACTGAGTATCCTTGTCCTAAAGAAGTTCATGGCCAAGTAAATAACTTACATAAGCAATTACAATACAAACAGATGAGAGCTTTAAGAGTGGTATTATTAGAAACTATGGGAGCACCCAATGACGGAGGACTCAGTCAGGGAACATTTTCCGAGTAGACGACTGAGTTAAGTTTAAAAGTTGAGTATTTCACTAAATAAACACTGGGGAGAGGAGAAAGCCGCTGCTGGGAAAGGAAGTGTAGTGTGCAAAAGTCTGGAGCTAGGAACACAGTTAGCAATGAAATGGCAAGTAATGAGGCATAAGTGAAGGGAACAGTAGGAGATGAAGTTGTCCTTGATGAATCGTGATTAAATGCCATCACCTAACCAATCACGCAAGTCAGAGGCCTGAGAGTTCATTCAAGGTTCTGTCTTTCTCTTTCATGCCCCTCTTCCCATTGGTTACCATGTCTGAGAAAATTTACCTTCTTCGTCTCCCCTGACTCTTTTCATTCCTTTTGCTTCCCTCACTGCAGCTCCTTTACTTCAGGTTCTCCCATCTCATCTTAGTGCGACAGCCTACTGCTTGCTTTCAGTCATGGCCCTTCCCACCCACTCTGGACTCTGAATCAGAGTGATCTTTTAGCAAACAGGCTTCCACTCTCCCAGAAACAACCCTGGATTTCCCCCTTCATCCACCTCCTCTAAGCTTCCAGAAAATTATTTTATTCCTATGGAAGAGCTTACAACACTCTGCTTTGTACCACAGCTAGAGCTCAGAGAGACAGGCCATTCAGTCCATCTGCTTTACCCACACTCTTTGCCAGAGAGTTGAGCCCCCCAGTCCCTGATAACGGGGCAGTGGATCCCAGGACCTCGGACCCTTACCTCTGTTTAAAACTATTAGGCAAATAACTGTCTCAATAGACCAATAAAGATCTTCTACCCTAGGAATTCTGTATTGTGCTCTAGACTACAGTGTGTGACCTGCAGAGGACTGGCAGTACCATATGGGGGCCATGTATGCTATCAAGCAGGTAAATGGCTCCTGTGTAGAAAAAAGCAGACTAATACAACTCATGTGCAGAAAGGGGGAGAGAAAAGATACCATGTGGTGGCTGGACCGGTCAGGGTGGTTGAGAAAGAAGCTGTGACTCCTTTGCCACCGTGTTAGTTCTGAGCTCCTCATGAGACCTGCCTACGCTTACTGGCCTGGGTTTTAGGTGAACCACCAATGTCTTATATTAATCACCACTTTTATTTAAATTAGATCAAGTAGGATTCCATTTCTTAGAATCAAATTAATCCTGTGACATTTATGTAAACTCCTTCTGCATTAGGTTATCATTTCTTTACATAAAGAAACCACAGCTTGTTTACCTTTGTATTTCTCACATAATACAGCAGTAACTTACACATATGATTAACACCTGTCTTTGTGAACTGAATTTAACTACAGAAGTAAGTGACTTTGGACTTGAATAATCAGTAGCAATTATATAGGCAGAAGTTCAATAATTTTTAAGGGCAGAGTGTTGGGGCAGGGAAGAAATTCAAAAGAAAGCCGCTTCGGTTAAACCTGGTTTTTAGGCATGGTTTCTATGCTTTCACATTCATACCCAGAGCAAGTACTACCTTCACGCTCCGGGTCAGAACCTGGCAAAGATGAGAGAGGAAACCCAAGTGGTCACAGCACGGCATGTTCTGACTGGGAAACGGTGACCTCAGCTCCTAAAGATCAGTAACAGATAGCCAGAACAAAAGAGCCAGGCGACCCCCCAACAGGCAACAGCTGCAGTGCGCACCCCCCACGAGACAGATGTCAGCTGAGAACTTCACCATGAAGGCCCGCCACATTTTATTTCTTGAGATAAATTTTCTCTTTTCCACAAGGATTTTAAAAGGCTTATTTCCATAAAAGACAATTTTTAATGTCTTTATAGTAAAAAGGTCAAGAAAAAGCACAGCTTTCCATCTAAGTATGAGAATCTTCAAACTTTTGCATTTTGAAAAATAGATGATTAATATATGGTTATTATTTTAAAATATTCTTTCTTTAGATTCAGAGAATGTCCTTGCTGCTTCAAAGGCCTGACTCCTTTTTTGATTACTGTTGTACTTTACCCGCAAGAAAAGAGTTCTTGATGAAGTAAGGGAGCATCTGTAAAAAAAAAAAAACCATAAAAAGCACCTGAAGGGCCATCTGAGTAATAAGAGAAACTCATTCTGTGAAGATTTCCTGACTACACCCTTACAGCTCAAAAACTAAGGAAACAGCCCAATCAAGTATACACAATGGGATATGACAGAAAGGCAGATAAAAGACAAGGCTGGATTTCCTGCCTTGATGTGAAAGTGTTCCCTTTTCACTGCCAAGCACAGTGTGGTGGGCACAATCACCAGGGGCCAGGTGGCACAGCCATTATCAAGCCTTTTGAGTGGATGGTGAGAAACTGGCAAGCCGCTGAGAAGGGCTATTTAGGGCTCAAGGGGTTGACGTCACTTTTGGATAATGAGTTAGGCTTCAAAATGATGACATTGCAATCCCACCACTTGAGAGCAAAAAAGAAAGTGCAACTGTTCCTGAGTGGCTCTGAGATCATATAAATCACAGTGATCTTCATAGCACTGAGAAAGTGGCCCAGGATAGTATTTCTTAAATTGCATTAGGACACACAGATTTGATTTGGTTTACTTTACTAACCATAAAAGGCTAAGCAGAGAATAAACCTCATCAAAGCAGCACATCATGGCCATCCATTCAGTGTCGGCACTCATAACCACGGATCATTCCCAGGAGGGTCCATCCTGTACAAGTTAGATGACCAACAAGCAAGTCACCCAATTAGACTAAAAGTAGTGTCAGAGCAAATTTTTCTAGCTTGTATGCCTTTATTTTCATTACCTAAAATGAAACCTAAGCATAAACTAGACACCATCTATAATAAAGGGCTACAGATATAGCTAAAACTTAATACAACTTCTCTTTCAAAATGAATACCAATTGTAAGAAGGAAACAGGCACAGCATTTGATCAAACAGCTAGGTCCATCAGTTTCTTCAGATTACAAGGAAATGGCTATCCATGATGCTCTGTGGCTATATAATCTATATTTAAGTTAGACTGGTTTCTAAAAGCTTCCCTAAAAACATGGTACCTTTCCCTGTTTACAGTAGGGTAATTTAATGTTTAATGCCACAAGTGAAACCTCTGAAGGATCAATACCAAAAAAGCACATCATTCAAACATACCTTTACATTCATATTTTAAAGCATGGGAGACTGCGGTCCCATGAATACGCCTGGAATTTCGCATATTTTAACACCAGTGTCTGAAAGGAGGGGTCTGATTGTTTGATACAATGAATTCTTTGCAAGTTCGCAACTACGAACAGGATTCATAACATAACAGGAAATAAGCAGAGGTTCAGAATGTGCTTATGTTTTATGCCAAAAACCAAAAACAAACAAAAAAGGTGATTGCCTGGCAGTTCAAGGAACCTATAGGTGGCCAGCTGTGGTAGCTAAGGGTGATTTCTGAAGAACCACGCCTAGTACGCATGGTTTAATGAAGAAATAATAATTAAAATACACACAAAAATGCTTACGTAAATGCTACCTAAACCAAGTTCCGTCTGGGATCTGTGGTTTTTCTCGCCAGAGGTCACCTACCCCAGGGCAAAGTTGCTGTCTTCCTTCCAGTCCACAATGCGGCAGATGAACAGCGTGTTGGCATAATCTTTAGGCCGGGTCACAAAGTCCTGGGGACAGTCCTTGAGAGGTACGTAAATTCTAGGCACCCGGTGGTCCGAGGGAGAAAACAGGGCATACTTCCTAAACAGTTCACTGTTCTTATCGGCCAAGAGTTTGAGGAAGCCAGTCGCTGCACGGGAATGTTTTTTTTCCAAGATGTAAACCACCTGAAAATACCAAAGATATAGTCAATGCTGTTTATCCGTAGGACTGGATAACAGTTGGGAGAAGTCAGTAGGATGTTATTTGGTCAACTATCTGGGTCCAGCAGTTTTTCTAAGTCTAAATGAAGTACCGCTCAGTGAGGCTCTGTGACTAAGTTATCTATATTTAAGTTGTAACAACTGAAGCCAGCAAGCACATACACCCAAGGAAAACTAAGCAATACACAGATTAATTCGATGAAAGTGCTTTTAAAACCAAGACCTATGTCTCAAAAAAATATGTAAAACTCCAGCAGGGAAGTACAGCTCCAGGTATTTGGTCTGCATTACATTTTTCTCACATGAACTATACCAGTATCTCAGGTGAACAATACAATAGTTGTTTATTTTAAAATGTTATTAAATGTAAATAATTTCTTTATTATGCCTTCAAATGCTGAAACCTTTTAACCTTCCTTCTTTCCAAGATTAAACCCACTCTCATTTCACCAGGCAAAAATTCAATAGCACAAGTACGTGCTATTTCTACCAAGAGGAACACATCATCTTGGACTGACCCATCATTCAGCTCTCACTCTCCTGTGCTCCTCCACGGGCTTTTTCACCACATCAAGACCACTAGTGCCTTGACCCTTGCCTTCTCTCAATGTCTGTTAGCTACTTCTTAGCCTTGAGCCCTTTCCTACCTGCCAGAGACGCCATGTTTCATCACTTCAAGTCCTGTTACGTATGTCATCAAATGCCTCACCCCTCTTGTTGTTCCACTGCATCTACCCCAAAAATCCTCAATTCTGGAACCATTCAGCCACTGCTATTCTCTAACCTTAAACACAAGTTACTGAGTCCACCAGAAAAGAAGAAAATTATAATCATACAGATGTATACCATCACACATTAATGTTATACAACTGCTGCTAGGACCTCAAAAGCTCTAAGGTATTTTTTTAACCTGTTCCCAGTCAGCACAATGTATTCTTTTTGGCTGCGTTGCGGCAGGCAGGGTCTTAGCTGCAGCAGGCAGGGTCTTTGTTGAGGCGTGTGGCACAGGCTCTTTGTTGTGGCGCGTGGGCTTCTCTCTAGTTGCGGCTACGGGTTTTCTTCTCTCTCTAGTTGTGGCGTGCTAGCTCCAGGGTATGTGGGCTCTGTAGTTTGTGGCACGCGGGCTTAGCTGCCCCATGGCACGTGGGATCTTAGTTCACCGACCAGGGATCAAACCCACGTCCCCTGCACTGGAAGGCGGATTATTTACCACTGGACCACCAGGGAAGTCCCCAGCATAATTTATTCTTTAAGCCCCACTCTCTTGATCCCTCTTTTGGGACTCCAATTATCTGAATGCTGGATCTTTTTTTTACTGTTCCACGGCTTCCTGAGGCTCTGTTCATTTTTTTTCAATGTATTTTCTCTCTGTTCACATTGGGTAAATTCTATTGATTGGTCCTCAAGTTAACTAATTCTGTGCTGAGTCACCTCTACTCTACTACTGAGCCCATCCAGCAAGTATTTCATTTGTTGCTGTATTTTTCAGTTCTATAATTTCCATTTAGTTCCCTTTTTATAACTTCTATTTCCTTGCTGAGACTTTCAGTTTTCTCATTTGTTTCAAGAGAATTTTTAATTGCTATTAAAGCATATTTATGATGGCTATCTTAAATCGCTATCAGGTAACTGCAGTATCTTGGTGTTGGCATCAACTAACTTGGTGTTAGCTGTCATTCCTCACTCAAGTAGTGATTTTCCTGGTTCTTGGTATAAGGTGATTTTCTAATGTATCCTATCCCGGACCTTTTGGCTATAATGTTAGCAGGTTCAAGGTCTTATTTAAATCTTGCCTTTTAGAAGGCAGTCACCCTGTCTAGGGCGAGCATGCAGGTCCCGGACTACTTTTGTGGGCTGTAGCTACAGTGACAATTTAGTTTTCAGAGGCTTTGCAATGCTATTTTGATATGTTTGGTTGACAAGGTACCACTGGGGCTCCCACTAGTTTCTGCTGGTACTGCTGAGGGGCTGGCCACCTGGCTGGTCTCTCTGATATGGGTGAGGAGCACATCCTGGTCCACATCCATGCAGAGACAGAGAGACTTCTCGCTTAGGGTTTGGGGTGTAGTGGCACCCCCTCCTACTGGTGCTATCTGGCTGCTCAGCATCTCTGGGTGGGAGAGGGGCATCTCAGGCCCATAAGGATAAAGAGGTTTCCTGGACCACATACTTGTGGTAGGATCTCCCTTGCTAGTGACATCTGGATGCCAGGTGTCTCTGGGTGGGGGAGGGGAGTCTCAGGCCCATAGGGACAAAGAGACTTCTGGGGCTAGGTCACCTCTTTGGCAGGATCCCTGCTGTCAAAGCCACCCAGATGCCTGGCATCTCTTGGTGAGGGACAGAAGTCTCAGGTGTGGTGGGGAAGGAGAGCCCTTTTCCTGGCCACTTGCCATCAGCAGAGATCCCAGTCAATTTGTCTTACAGGTGCTGCTGGGATTGCCTGGTGTTGTTGGAGGGCCTCCTGTTAGATCTGAGTGAGGAACGAGTCTGCTTGAGCCACCGGCTGTTGTGGGGTTGGGATCCAGAAACACGGGGCCTGGGTCCCCTTCTGTTGGTGGAGGGCTTATAAAGTCCCCTGCTACTACATTGTTCTTCTAGCCCTAGAGTCCCTAACTAGTTTGCCTTCCTCTTTTCATCTTTCAGAATTCTCCTTTGGTTGTCTCTTATTATTGTCCAGAATTTGTAGCTGTGCTTAGGGGAGAGGAGCAAGGAGAAACAAATCTATGCCATCATGTCTGATGCTTTTCGTTTTAACGTTCGACAGAACAAGAAGTATACAAATCAGCATGACATTACTCATGATTCATGTGTTAACTGTCACATAAATGACTTTACCACAGTGTAAGTTTTGCCTTGTAATTTTAGATTGAATTCATTAAGAAACTATACAAAAACAAATAAACCCCAAAACCAAAAATAGCAAGAGAGGAAGCACCATTGGGGGGCAGCAGCAAATTGCAGAACACAAATTCCACTGACAGAGGTTGCCTCTACTCAGCTCTGACCAAAGTCATTTAAGAATGTGGCCCACTGTTGCTGGATGTTTTGTTTCATCAAGAGACGCCAGAAGCCTGACACTCCTTTTTTTTTTTTTTTTTCGTATAAGCTACTAAGCCAAAATTTTAAAATATTGCACAGGTCAAGCAAAACACAAATTTATGAGCCAGACCCAGCCCACGATCTTTCCGTTCATTATACTCTTTCACACCTATCATACTGCCTAGTAAATGGTTAGTACTCAAAATGCTTATTAAGGGCTTCCCTGGTGGCACAGTGGTTGAGAGTCCGCCTGCCGATGCAGGGGACGCGGGTTCGTGCCCCGGTCCGGGAAGATCTCACATGCTGCGGAGCGGCTGGGCCCGTGAGCCATGGCCGCTGAGCCTGCGCGTCCGGAGCCTGTGCTCCGCAACAGGAGAGGCCACAACAGTGAGAGCCCCATGTACCGCAAAAAATAATAATAATAATACAAAAAGCTTATTAAAATAAAGATCTAGATAAACGAATGGGCAATTGGCAGGGGAGAGTAAAATATATGTAATATAATTTAGAAATTCCTCATGTCGATACGCAGGAGACACTCTCCTATCCAACTTGCTAGACTGAGTGGCAATGCCGCATTCCCAGGTTACACGTGCCGGCGGATGCCTCTGGTAAAGGAAAACCTCATGCTATCACACACTCCATCCTTTGTCATTGCACCACTCCTTCCACCAGGAGCTACCTGCGTAGCGAGGATCAGCTGTGTTTGATCTCATATCTGAATATGTCACTAGCATATATAATTTTTTTTTAAGATTTAATTTTAGTTATTTTTGGCTGTGTTGGGTCTTTGTTGCTGTGCACAGGCTTTCTCTAGTTGTGGCGAGCGGGGGCTACTCTTTGTTGTAGTGCACGGGCTTCTCCTTGCAGTGGCTTCTCTTGTTGCAGAGCACAGGCCCTAGGCGTGCGGGCTTCAGTAGTTGTGGCACACAGGCTCTAGAGCACAGGCTCAGTAGTTGTGGCGCACAGGCTTAGTTGCTCCGTGGCATGTGGGATCTTCCCAGACCGGGGCTCAAACCCATGTCGCCTGCATTGGCAGGTGGATTCTTAACCACTGCACCACCCGGGAAGTCCTAGCATATATAATTAAAAAATAAAATTGAATTACGCAAAAAAACAAATTGCTTTTGTTACTGGACAACTAAATTAAATACTTTGGAGAAACTAAAAAATACTTATTAAAAACTTACTTTTGAATTAGATACGGTCGTGACAACAATAAAAAAAATTGGAGCAAAAAACTAGAAATCTAGAAGGAGTCTACATTCATATTGCTTCACCAGTGCCTAAATTCTCACTCCATTCATTCATTTATTGCCGTGCCGCACGGCACACAGGATCTTATTTCTCTGACCAGGGATCAAACCCGTGCCCCCTGCAGTGGAAGCGTGGAGTCTTAACCGCTAGACCGTCAGGGAAGTCCCTCTCACTCCACTTTAAATAAACCAAACTGGAAATCATAGATGTCACATTACAAGTGCAGTTTATGCAGAAAAAGATAATGCAGAACCTCAATAAACATACCCACACGCGAAGAAAAGGCCTTGGCCCTTCATCCAAAGACAGACAAATGAATATATGTTTAAAGTTATGAAAAAGATTCACTTTTTATGATTCCCTGCTTCCACTGACTTTTCTGATTAACTGACCAACTACAGTCCTAACTGAATTGTATGAGAGGCCCCCAACAGGTAGCTCAGCTACCAGCCAGACAAGTGAAGGAAACAGGCAGAGACCTTTGCTGATCTCTGCAGCGACTTCTCTGGTAAAGCTCTTGTGTCCTGTGACATGAAGGTGTTCTTGTCTTTTGTAACTGGTGCACCAGCATCCTCTTTTCCTAATTTAAAAAAAAGAGAAAAGAAGAGGAGGAGGAATCAGGTAGACACATACCTATTAGGCATACAGACTCATGGGATTTTTAAATTCAGAGCTGCAAGGATTCTTGGACACCATTTAACCCAAAGTACTCATTTTACAGAAAAGGAAACCCAGGCCCACAGTGGTTAGGTGACTTGGCTAAGGTCAGTTACGTCACTAACTTGTAGAAATGCTCACACTCAGCAGGCCGCATTTTATCTATTTAACATTATTCATATGTTAGGCATCATACAAGTGGAGAGCATCAAATTATGCTGAATTAAACTAAATCGCCTATGTGTCAAAATGCCAAAATAACTAAATGTTATACACTGCCCCAGCCCACAATGAAGAATAGAGATAGGTTAACTTATTATGCACATCCGCTGAAATAAAACAAAATCAAAATAAATGTTAACTTTTAAAAGTACTCTGGTACAGCCATAACAAACAAAATGGTGGAAAATAGATTATATTTATTAAATAAACAAATAAAAAAGCCAACCCTGATTTTCCTGGCTTTTCTTAGTGACATTATATAAAGAGTAAAGTACTTAAAGTCTTTTAATGTTTAATTCCCCTCCTTAAAAAACTTATAAAATTCACATTCACCCAAGAAACTGAAACCACTAAAGAGGGAGTTAGGCTCTGGACCAGAAGTATTAAAACCACTCATGAAAAAAAGCAGCAAATTACAAACTTCTGAACATTTAATATTTTATATTTTCATGCGTTACATTAGATTTCCCCCACAAAATATTCTTATCCAACTCTACTGGAGTTTCTGGATTCTAGGGGTCACAACCAATTCATGTGGGACCCACTCCAGCTAGCTAAGAGAGACTTGTACTTATCATCATTTAGACATTACTAAGGCCAAAATAAATAAATAAATCCTTTTCAGGACTGGCTGCCTCTTAGCAAAGGCTCAGCTAAAAGCCAACTTTACTCTGGGCGTACTCTGGAAACACTGACATGATCTGACCTACTGGGGCTTAAGAACAATCAACTGTATGCTTTTCCATCTATGCTAAAATCTACCCACCATGGTGCCCACTGAAAGCAGAATTCTGTTTCCTGAAAAGAAAAACAAATGAAAACTTTCCCATTGTCGATCACCCTCTTCATCACCCTGTAAAAGAGGGACATCGTCCAAGTTCATCTTTTATTTTGGACCAAGTTCCGGATTCCAAAATCATCAGATGCCTTCAGAACAAACCCTCTTGCACTGTTGGTGGGAATGTAAATTGATACAGCCACTATGGAGAACAGTATGGAGGGTCCTTAAAAAACTAAAAATAGAATTACCATATGGCCCAGCAATCCCACTACTGGGCATATATACCCAGAGAAAACCATAATTCAAAAAGACACATGCACCCCAATGTTCACTGCAGCACTATTTACAATAGCCAGCTCATGGAAGCAACCTAAATGCCCATCGACAGATGAATGGATAAAGATGTGGTACAAATATACAATGGAATATTACTCAGCCATAAAAAGGGATGAAAATGGGTCATTTGTAGAGACATGGATGGACCTAGAAACTGTCATACAAAGTGACGTAAGCCAGAAGGAGAAAAACAAATATCGTATATTAACGCATATATGTGGAATCTAGCAAAATGGTACAGATGAACCAGTTTGCAAGGCAGAAATAGAGACACAGATGTAGAGAACAAATGTATGGACACCAAGGGGGGAAAGTGGCAGGGTGGGTGGTGGTGTGGTGGGATGAATTGGGAAGTTGGGATTGACATATATACACTAATATGTATAAAATAGATAACTAATAAGAACTTGCTGTATAATAAATAAATAAATAAAATTAAAAAACCAAAAAAACCCAAAAAACAAAAAATAACTAAAAATCCAAGGGTGATAGTCACTGTATTGTTGAATTCAGAGTCTTACTAAGTCTCCTACATGAAAAGTAGGAGTACTAATCAGAAGGAGTAAGACTCAAGAGAACCAGACCATACATACATATATACATATATACTTCATCCATATACATGCATTACATACATACATTTCATACATATATATTTCATATAAGAAATATAAGATTAGGAAACACAAGATATAGGAAGATGCAGAAAGGTCTGAGTACTTTGGATGCCTAGTTCTAACTGACCTTCCATTGTCACAAGTCATAAGCGGACTATGATAGCATATCCATCCTAAGCGGTGGTCTGTGAAAGACAGTAGAGCAGAAACTTCCTCCCTGCAGGCAGAGCTTCAAGCAATATATCCATGGTCTACTTTGGCTGAGGAAAGATGGCCTGATGGGCAGAGGCTACATGTTTAACCATATGGATAGGGACCTAAAAGAAGAAAGATTGGAGGACTGGTGACAAAGACATCTGGGGAACAGACATGGAGAAACAGGCCAACTGCAATGGGCCCAGAGTATGATTATTTGTGTTCCATGAGAATGGTCAGCAAAAGACTCCCACTGTGGAGGCAAGATGACCTTGAGAATGTCAACCAAGCCCCTTCCCCAGGCACTGCAGTGCTTGCTCAATGGGCATAAGAACGAAGAACCTGGTAACAGGAAATGAGCTCCACAGCATGAGCTTCCTCTCACTAATGCTAACCAACCCTTACAGAATGCCAGCTGCCCAGCAGCAGCAACCAACTCTGCCCCGATACAGAACCACGGCAGGAGGACCCACCAACCAGTTGATAGCAGATTTAGTTCACTGAGCTCTTCTATGATGGAGAGGACAGTAATCTTTCTCCATTAAAAGAAACACTAATTCTGGGTTTGGGTTTGCTGTCTTCATTTGTTCTACCCACCTTGCTTATAAACACCATAATCCATAGATTTACCAAATACTGTTTAAGCTATTGTGTTACCTCACTCGGTACTGTTTGTAATCAAGAATTTCACCTTACAGAAGTAGAGAAACCCACTGAATTCACTGATTAGAATGATGTATAGCGTACTGACGGGCTAAATCGGGAGGTAACATCTTATGAGGTTGGGATATAACGTTGCTTTTATTATTCTAGAGTTGTGCACACCGTCTGGGGACCAAGAATGCAAGGGAGGGGTTGGGCCTTTCACTGTCATACTTAAGACTCACTCACAGTAATACTCGCTTCTACATTTGAGAGACTTTAGTACCTCCGGGGACAGTTGTGATTCCTCTGAATTCAAGGCTAAGACTCCAAGAATCCCAACTGATTTATTAACAAGGCATGAAATATACTTCCTACTTCCTTCCTGAAAAGAACTATGTGCAATTCGAGTCAGTTGAGAGATGACTCAGAAGTAAGGGTTCAAGAATGGCAAGTAATGATATAAAGAGGTTAATCATATATTATGTTGATCCATATGAAATTACCAATATATTTGACCATTTTTTACCTATAAAACACAATTTCACATGATTCTCTCCTACAGTATTAAAAAAAACATGTAAAATAATTAACCATACATATAATCCAACAGCATACACAGTTTTCGGAAGAAGTATAAACAACAAAGTAGATCATATAGAGCTTATTAGAGAATTAAACTAATATGAAAAGAAACACATTCTAATATGTGGGTAGGAGTCTCAGTAACAGTCTTTGTGAGGCAGACTTAAAACACAGTGCCCATCCTACTCCTACTTGGTGAGACTGGAGTGGCCAAAAATGATCATCTTATGCTTGTTAATGGAGGGCTTAAACACCTGAACAAACGGCATTTTATAATATTCAACTTAAAAACTATAATGCTAAAATCTAAGAACTCATTATTTAAAGATGCGGGGGGAGGAAGGTGGGGAGGTGTTCCATTAAAATAAATACTGCACGTAAAAAGAAAGAAAAGAACAAGCAAGGGAAATGGCAGAAGGAGAAAACATACATTATAAGTATACAGACACAGAAATGACTGTCTTGACCAAAGATATTAGCAAGAACTCAAAAATTTATGAAAATATCACCACTAAAGAAGAGCTCAAAGCAAAGATCCAAGTGCATACAAAATAAATAAATTTCACAAAAGGAAATAAAAACTAGTGTGTTAGACCTAGGAAATAGGAAATAAGTAGAAAAGAAAAAAAATCCATCATAGAAATGAAAAGTCATACGGGAGATAACTAATGAAGAACTGACACTATTTGAAAAAAGTAAGGATCATAGAGAAAAGTCTGAGAGAAGTGGGAAAAAATGAAATTGGAACATACTAAGAGTATAAAAAGATTATAGGGAAAACAGATATGAAAGGTAGGTGAAGGAGATCAAACATTGGCATAACTGATATTCCTGAAGGAACTGCATATATGAAATAGAAAACATTTTCAAAAATATCACTAAGACAACTTTCCTGAATGAAAGAAATTTTACAGACAGAAAGGGTATATACCATGTCTCAGGAAAAACTAATACAGAAAATTACCACTGAAGTTAGTGGACTTTAAAGATGAAGATTTTTAAATGCAAGAACTCACAGAATGTAATTCTCACAAACCATTTCTGAAGGACTGCTAGATAAAGACAACAGCCTACCAAGAAATGGAGCAATTTCTCCAAAAAGAAGACGAGTGCTGAGTACTGGATCCACTTCTGTTGGGATGGAAAGGTGAAAGGAAAGGAGGTGACGATGGACCTAATATTCGTCAGAACAAGTCATGTCAGTCATTAGATCTTTGCTGAAATTTAAAGGAAAAAACAAAAACCCTGTCTTTTATCTTATTTAATTTTACTGTTGCTTTGTGTTCTGGCAAAATTTTTTCACCAGGCTCTATTCTGAGTCCAAAGAATCTTGATTTGTTCATTGAAATTATAACATGGCCTATAAAAACAAAATTATATTTTGATTAGGGCCTCCAAATGTGATCAATGACTCCAAGTTTCTATTAGTAGTAATTAACATTTATTTTACTAAGTTGCAGAGAATGTTTCTCAAATATCATATTTAAATAAATTTATTATAGGTTTTCACTCAAGATGCATTTGATAGTAGCATAGACTAGATAG